GGCAATCTTATGCAGACTTTATGCAAGGATGATTTTAGGTTCGTTTTGAAAGAAATTGCGAATGATGAAGCCAAGCTATCTTGGCATTTGAGATCCTTTAGTTGAGATTGTCAGAATTGTGTAACCTTAGGTCCGTTACTGATTTCAGTCTGGGCAGTGGGTTTTTGTTCTGTGCTAATTTTAGTTTAAGTGTCTTGTTTTCAATACATGGCCAACCGTATTTCTCTGTATTGAGCTTTAGCCCCCAGCGTTTGCACCAGTCGTCTACTTTGTCGAGTTCATGTTGGATCGTTTACATAGTACTACGTACTTCGCGAATGTCAGTTTTATGGATGACTTTTAAGTCATCAGCGTAGAGGTAGTTTATACCTGTGGTAAAGCACTGGCATATATTGTTGATGTGGATTATAAAGAGCAATGGACACAAGACACTACACTGCACAACACCAATGATTATTGGTCGAGGTGTAGATGTTGTAGAGTTAATCTTGGTTATTTGGTATCTGTTTGTGAGGAAAGACTTAATCCCTTGCAATAGGGGGTTTATAATTCCAAATGACTGGAGTCTGTTGATTAGGAGAGTATGAGGTACTTTATCAAAGGCTATCTTTATATCGAAATAAAGTCTAATCACTAGCTTTTTCTGATCACGTATGCGAGTAACCTCGTTAAAGAAGTCTATCAGACATGTACTACATGATCTTGTTCTAATGAAACCATGTTGTGTTGGGTCTATTAGTTCTTCCTTAAGTAGGTGATCTGATAGTTGGTTTTGTATCACTTTTTCCATTAGGCGCGAAATAACTGGGGTGATATTTATAGGTCTGTAGTTTCCGACCAGGTTTCTCGGTCCTGATTTGTGTTTGGGAAGAACAAACGTTACCTTCCAGGCTTCAAGATATGTACCCGCCTCTAAATATAGTGTGTATATTTTGAGCAATAACGTATGTATATCCGGCCTGGACATTTTATAGAGAATTGAAGGCACCAGAGCTCGCATTCGGCTTAAGGGTTTTGATGGCGGTATGTATACTCCTAATGTCAAAGTTTATGATGCTAATATAGCTTTTGCTTATGCATTTTATGTTAACATCTGGGGCATTAGATGTATTCCCGTTTTGCGAATACCATTCACTTAGCAGTTCGCATATGACGGTTTGGTCATAGTACGTCACGCCATCGTGCAGTAAAGAGTGAATGTTGTGATCTTCGTTCTTTCTCATGCGTTTTGAAGGCAGCCGACATAAGTTTTGGACTTTAGATGCAGCTGTGAGCGCAGTACGTTCTTAAAGCTTATACTCCGATTGGCAACCTATACTTCAAACAATAGTTAATTAAAGCATTGCTTCGACGCCTCACCAACAGTCCATAATTTCTAACTGTCTTATAAGCTTGTAAAATGGTACTTCTAGAAATAGTGTTTTCCAACAGGATGTGAAACACGAAGCATTGTGTGAGGTAGTATCAATTTAATCTAATAATTTATCATACCTCTGTCTGTTCCATCACTAAATGTTAGACATTGTATATCGTTCATATGCAGACGCCTTGCTGCTTCTCGGTCTCTTTTTTTCTCTTTAGAATCTTGCTCTGAGTGCAGCAGCATCTGGTTAATGAATTTTCGAGGATTTCGTGACACCATGCACCGCGAAATGAAGAAACCTTTTTTTCACTTAATTCTGAAATCAGAAAATAAACTTCCCGATTGAATTATAACTAATTTCGACAAACCAGAAATGAAAAGACTAGCCCAAAAAGCGCCACGATACCACATTGTCGTTGCTCAAATCCACAGCAACTGGATTACGAAATAGCGGCCTCATGTCAGGCCATCCAAGGTTGTTAAACCGAAGATCTGGGAACGACTTGATTACCGTTTTCAAATTACTTAGTGATCGATTTGCATCCAATGTGCCTTTATTTGTTGTCTTCCGAAACGTAGAATTAACAAGAAAACTAAAAAGGTTCACAAGCCCATAACAAATCACCTGTCAGATGATTGGCGGCTTTTCCATCGAATCATCAACGAGCGGGATTCCATACCTCAACACGTGATCGAAGCTCCATCTACCCACTCTTTCAAACAATTCTGGATCAGATAAGAGACCATCATTGACAGAACTACCACAAGTCATCTAGCCTCCTGTCCTTTCCATACTGAAACTAAAACGGTGAGCTGCACAAGAAGCACAGCAGACAATCTTCATATTAATTGAAGTTGATTCGTTTGTGGTGGGATAGTTAAGGTAAGACTACTTAGCCTGATTCTTTTGTATTAGGATACTGTTATATCCCATGGTGAATTATGAATGGTAAATCTGAGGTCTGTTATCGACCAATGTATTATGCCTATTTCTTATTGTACAGTTGTTACGTAACTAAACTATTCATATTCGTTTTCTCTTATCATAAGCTTTATTTTGATCTTTGATTTATTATCATACGATTATTGAGTTATACTCAGTTTATTGATTACTTTGGTTTGTATAAAAACCCAGTATGTTTGTAAATGATGATTCATATTGCCGAGGCTGTTATTTGTGTTCTGGACTTAACGGGCTGGGCTAGGCATACAGCAGGACCGAGTAGTAATCGAGACTGCTCGTACAATTTCAATCATCATTGCGTCCGATCAATAAATTCGCTCATTCTCCAATTGCACGTTCATATAAATTACGGGCGTATACGTTATAACAGATACTTTTTGAATAAGAGCATTGTAATAGGTAAAAATAAACAAGCTTCAATTGACTCATGATCTCAACTATATAAAACAAGCGTAAATATGATATAAATAGACAAAGAACTGATTGGAGGTTTAGAAGCTGGAAGTATCAAATCTTGTGTACTTTTTATAAATAGTACTGAAAACGGTATTCCGATGCTCAAATGCCTATCTCCTTTTTCTGTCGTAGCTATTTCAGCCCATCTTTATCGAGTTTTAGGGTCATGAGCAGACTTCACCTTCAACAAATTGTTTAGTTTTGCTCGTAGTAGGATCACTCGGTTGGAGGTGAAATCAATTCAACATCACAAACACGATTTAAAGAGGTACTTTGCACAATAAATTAGTAGCAATACCATTGGTTCGCGACATCCCCCTTGACCATAAGGAGCCGTAGTTTAACAACACGTTCTCGGCAGATATGTATGGATTGAAATTATCTCCTCACCATCATATTTGCTGGTCAGTAACGCCACCCTCCCTTCTTTTCTGATGTTAGGCTCTCGTACTTTTGTGGTGTGTGAGAATATTACTTTAGAATATTGCTTTAATCTGAGCTTAATCTCTGTTGTAAATAAGTTTTTCATTATGAAACTAATTAGCCATCTAGATTTAGAAATAATAAAGGAGGCATGTTCTTCGAACCTTAGGCTTCCTGTGAATATACATAGATCGTGCGCTGATTTGAGTGTTTGAACCCTACTTTTATTTAAGTAAAATTATAGTTCACAAGGATGCTTTCAGTAATCCATGATCCCACACTTGTCGGGATCAAATGTTATTTACCAATTTACGCTCCAGATAGTTAGGTTATTAAGGTCACTTTGAATCTGGGATACAGTTTCACTTAGGGATTTATGCTCAAATCTGTATACTATTTTGAGATCATCAGTGTATGAGTATGGTCTCCCAAATGTTGCGGTGTTACATATATCGATTATATGCATAAGAAAGAAAAGTGGACCTAATACACTTCCCTGGATGACTCCACTAGTTATTGGTTTGGGTGATGAGAGAGAGTCATTGTACTTTATCATCTGTTTACTCTCTTTTAAGACGGACTTTAATTTGACGAGAAGTCTTTTGTGTGTGTGACCTAATCAGAAGCTTTCTTAAAGTCTCAGAATGGGACTGATATAAATAGGCTGGTGTTTTTTTCGAGAGTTATGTCATTCATGTAGTCTACTAAAAATGCCACAGGTATTCTGAGTTTGACAACGCTTTAACGAGGATCACCTTCTACCACGAATCGTACCCACCCAGTGAAATCAAAAGACAGAAGCGAGAAGGTTCGAAGATATATTCGGTAAGTTATCAATAGATCGTCGATCGACTGATCTAATCTGACTAGCGATTGCAATGGATATAGATCTGGGCGTTCCCACTTGTGATCTGGTGCGGATACATGATCTATCGCCTTAAGTTTAGTGAGTCCATTAAAACTAGTGTGGTTAGCATCCGATGTCGAGCTACTTGTTGTCCAGACACACAATGACTTAGGAGTCATCGTTAGTCAAGATTTAAATATCACTGCACACTGCCGTGCAATAGCTGACACAGGTTTTAGAACTTTATGGTCCATACGTAAGGCTTTTAGTCATCTCGACGCTAAAACGTTTCTGACTTTGTATACAGTTTTCGTGTGTCCTAAAATTGAATACTGCATACAAGCAGCTAGCCCCTGCCTAAAAAAGACAGTGAACTCTTGGAAAGGGTTTAGGGAACAGCAACTAAGCTGATTCCCGGAATAGCGAAGCTCCCGTATGGTATTAAACTGACCAAGCCAAACCTATTCCCGCTGTCATATCAGAGTCAGAAGCGACTTGATCACAGTTTTCAAATTGCTTAGTGATAAATTTGCACCTGATACGCCCTCATTTTTCTTGTCTCCCAAAATAGAAAATTTACGAGGACACCTTAAAAAAGTTCACAAGCCCGGAACGAATTACTTGTCAGCTGACCATCGACTTTCCCATCGAATCATCAACGAGTGGAATTCATTACCTCAGCATGTGGTTGAGGCTCCATCCGTCAACTCTTTAAAAAGAAGGCTGGATCAGCTGAAAGACCATTATTGCCAGGACTAACACAGGCCATCAAGCCTCCTGTCCTTTCCATTCTGAAACTGAACACTTACAGAGCCATTTATTTTGGGGATTTATTTACCGCTATAGGGAAGTAACAATGACTTGAGACTATACCGAAACAATAAGAGGAAAAGTCCAAAATAAAACTTGTGATAAATATATTAGATACATATTGGATATTGGATATGGACTATTCGAATGGTCCTTCCATAGTCATCTGTAATAACCTGACGACCCCGATCGTTTTAAACTACAAGGTTACTTATGTTATGTTAGGTACTTCTAAAGATAGTCAAGTCGAGGCTTCTCTTGAATCGCGTCTAAACAAGCTCGATGAAGTTGAACGAAAGATAAGCCTAATTATTCAGCACGCCGGTAGTGCGCTTGAAGAACTTTCAAAAGATAAACCCACGGTAAAACAAGTCGAAAGTTGCACACATAACTTCCGAACAGTTATTAAGGAAGTAGAGACAGAAATGAACTCACACATCAACTACCTGTCACATATTTCCGCGGGACTACCGTATGAGGGGTGCACTTACGACAAAGCAATTGACCTCTATCAGACTCTTGACCAACTAGTTGCTGCCAAACGTCGTTTAGATTCCTGTTTGTAATTGTCTTAAATAAAACTTCCCCACAAATGTTTTCTCTTTTAACACTGACCCTATGTCCATAATCGGATTTCTGCTCGTTTTTAAGTTTTTTATAGGTTGCATATAATGGAGTCAGACCCAGCAGTAACGAGTACTGTTTGCGAAGGTGTATTACACCCAGAGAACAAATGGAACGTCCCTACTGATAGTCCTAATCCAGTTAGAAACTCAAATATCTTTTCAGATGATGGCCTTACCATTCAAAAGACACCTTGGAATGATTTAAATGACGCAGAGACAGCGTCTAGTGTAGGCGAGTCTTCAAGGCGAAACAGCAAGTACGATGATAATATGCCTGTTCATTCCGCATGTCCCGAGTTTGAAATCCCGGAAATGGAGTTCGACGAATTTGAGTTGGAATTAGCTGCTGAAAAAGGTGTGTTTAAGTTTTTTTTGAAGCTTGTTCATCATATTCTTGGAGGCTTTCAAACTCAAGTGGTTTTTCAGACTTTTTATGATTACTGAATTAATCATTTGTGTGGCGCATATATATTTGGCACCTTGTGCCAGTGTTCATGTTTTTAAATATACATTCGCTTTCAGACTTGGTAACTGGGATGATATCTGAAACTGGCTACCACTGACTATATGGCTTAATCATTTTAAGTGGAGGTCTGGATAGAAAATTAAAGTTTGTTTTTAACTCTGTTCAAGGATTAGAGCCCCTAAACACTTCAAAACAATGGGAAGAGGAGCATTTATACTGGTAGGTTTCCTCCAGGACTCTCAAAATGATTCACCCGGGGTTATGAATAGAAGTTATTGTAGTACTAACTATGACCTAGAATTTAGAGTAATCCTGTCTGGATGCTCTCGTTTTCTGGCCTTCTCAGTCTATGGGAAAGGATATAAATCGTCTTTTGATAACCAGAGAGGAATCAGTTTGTCAACTATAATCTCCTAAATATTGGCCTTCGTCATTGTCCAAATACTTAAACATACTCAAAACATACGTCACACACATCTCACGCACCTCAGTTGATGATTCATGGTTTCGACTATTGACTTTCCATTTTCGTTTATTACCTTGAAACATTCCTCACTCGTTTGTTCTGTTATGAGCGAACCAGCTTGGTTTTCTCTAGTCTGCTCTTCACGAGCTTTGGTTAGGCGACCTAGTATTATTGAAGCTAATATTTTAGACACTATATTAGTCAAACTGATCCCTCTGTGATTGTCACAAGAGGACTTTTGTCCTTTCTTATAGACTGGCACAATCAGTGATTGGGACCAGTCAGATGGAATTACGTCCAGTTCCCAGATTCTACCTAAGACCTCAGTCAATCTCACTGCTAGTACTGGACCACCATCCTTAAAAATCTCAGGGGTCAACCTGTCAGGGCCTGCTGCTCTCCCTCGCTTCAGATTTCCTATAGCTTTTTCAACCTCACAGAGGGTTGGAGGACTTACATCAATTTGCCATTCAGGACGACTGGGGATCGTGGGTAATTGAAGTGTGGCTGAAGGCCAGTTGAACTGATCCCTAAAGTGTTCTGCCATCGATCCAATCTCCTGGATTGAGAATGAATAATATGCCCATCTTTATCTGAGATGGTTTCACTGATATTCGGGTTCCTAATACCGGTTTCTTTAACGAGTCTGAATAGCTGCCTACTGTTACCTATTGCCGCTGCCTTTTCCATCTCTCTTGCTTTCGCTACCCACCACTGTTCACGATCATTACGTAGGCTTCTTATAAGCCTGCGCTTAAGTTGACTCCGCTCTTCGTTATGCTCAGAGCCAGGTGGGATGAGTTTACGAGCATCTATCAGTGCGGTAGATGCTGCCGAGATCCATTGTTTCTCCCTAACGTTATGGTTTACCTTACTAGCGGATATCACTGCTGTTTCCACAGCTTTTCGGATGTCATTCCACGCTGCCTCGGGGTGGAAACAACTTACATGGCTGCCTAACTGTTTTTCTAGTTGTTTCTGAAATATATTCTTAGCTTGCCTATCATTAAGTAGAACCCTTAGAGGCTTCCCTGCAGTGTCTTTCCTACGACCAGTAAGACGCAGACAGATACGTGCTCGCACTAGAGCATGATCTGAATCTAAACATGTGCCCCAGAATGAGCGACAGTGTTCTATCGAGCCCCTCCATCGGTGGCTGATAGAGATGTGATCTAATTGGGTCCAACGTTGGGACGAATTCGGGGGTCGCCATGTCAAAAGATGTTTTTCCTTATGCTTAAAGTTAGTATTTGCAAGAAATAGGCGGTTATCTGAGCATAGCTGCAACAGACGGTCGCCATTATCTGTTCTTTTCGCCATGACACCATAAGATCCACCCATGTGTCTTTCCCTTTCACTTAGTTTACCTACTTGAGCATTAAAGTCACCTGCTACTATTACTACATCAGAACGCCTAGCTTCTCGGAGAAGGTCAGAAAGTTTCCTGTAGAACTCATCTTTTATATCGTCTGAGCTGCAGTCAGTGGGAGAGTAGGCAGATACGACGAAGAGGCAACGACGAGTTTCCCTATCTTTCCGGGTCCTTACTGATCCGTTTAGTCGGACAGCGCATAGACGACTGTCTACTGGGATCCAGTCTAAAAGAGCTAGTTCTGCCCTAGGACTTAATGCTATACCTACTCCAGCGAGGCCACGGGAAGCAGCATCAGGGCTTCCAGATACACGAAGCGTGTATCGAGATGAAACTTTATTTTGATTAGGTGCGGTCAAATGAATGACACTACTCGGATCTTGTATACGCGTTTCGGAGACGCAGCACACATCGATGGTGTAAGATTCTAGAGTCCTAGCTAAGGAAGCCTGTTGTCCTATTTGGCACAATGTTCGGACATTAAAAGTTCCTATATGTAGTTTAGAGCGTGGTTTCAGGAGACCAGGAATAACGTTCTGTGTACTCGAATCGTTTGCCCTAGCGGTGCGAGGTGATAAAAGGACGTGGGAAGGGTTAGTCGTGGAGATAACAGAGTTATTAGGTGTAGGAAGGATTTGAAAGCGACCAACTTGGTCTTGTGTGCAGTTAAGGGTATGAGGGCTAGTATCACTTCCCGGCTGCCCACACCGTGGAAGGGTATTTCTTGAGGGACCTGAAAAAGAAGTTGGATTAGTGTTGGTCTTAACGACCTGGGAGCGTGACCGCAGTGCCCAAGGGACATCTGCTTGATGCCGTTCACGCACGGCCTTTTTGTGGGGGATTTTTGATGTGTTAGCTCCGTTCTTCAAAAGTCCTTACCGCCGGAGACGGAAATCCGTGGGATAAGGCGAGGTGTGCATTTTTAGGGTCGACCTTTTCTAACCCCACTCTTCCTTGTGGGAAGGCAGCATCGCTGTTATGCTGGTTGTCTGAAGGAAACACCTTACTGCTTTCACACCTCTGTACAGTCAGCAGTACGACTTCGCCTTCGGACCTTGGGATTGCTGCTTTTAGTCTCACCGCTCTTCAACCGACCTGTCTGGCATGGTAGGACCTTGAGGAACGATTGTTCCAGCCAGCATAGCTCGATTGGATCATCACGATAGGCAAGCCCGACCACCACGACAAGGTAGCAGCAACGGTCGAGAAGGAAGACAAACCACTTTCAGAGATCGGTAGGTGTCGATTAAGTAAAGATATTTGAGAATTGGTTGATTAGAGGGAGTACCAACCAATCAAGCATCCTTACAGTAAAAGTATTTTTAAGTCCGTATTGCTCATAGGCACGGGAGGGAGTGAGGCACCAAAAGTAGAATTAGGGTATCTTAATGGGGAACCAATGTCTTATCAGAAGTTTATGAGTCAGTTTGAAATCTACATGGCTTTAAAAGAATATGATGATGGACAACCTTCATACCTCATGGATTGTTGTAGCAGGTCTGAGGAGTTATTGAGGGTCGCGTCATGTTGGAACCATCTGAAGACTATTATCGATACGACGAAATACTTAGGTATCTGTTCAAACTTTATTATTTATATTTATTCATTTAAACACATAAATATCGGTACAAGGAAGCACCAGATAAATATGCGCCTCACAAATCTCATTCGATTTGTGTGAGGGCTGTGATACTGCCCAGGTGCCCAAACTGAAGCAGGTGGTTTTCTTAGAAGGCCACACCCTGAGCCTTTGACCTAAAGGTCTAGTCCACAAGGCAGTGGAGCATCGTAAGGAGATGCAGTCCCATGGTAGCCGGTGACCAACAGTTGGTTCATACGCCATTCGCCCCTTCAGGATCCTGGAGCCCATGTGCACCATTGGTTTGGAATCAGGGTTTTCCAACTCCCCTAGGTGGATCCCCCACATCCACCAACCCGGTTAAGGCGCCAGACATTCGCTTTTCGTCCTCTCACTTTTGTGAACAACACCCCCGCCACGAGAAGGCAGTGAGTAGGACTTCCCTGACAGAGGCTATATATTCGCGTGGCCATGTGAGAGCATTTGGAGAGGGAGAGCAGACTCTCCCCACTCTTGGCCGTACCAGGGCATTTGGGGTTCTTCAGCTTAATCACTCCCGATACAAAGTTCAAAACCCTTGATATATTACTGAAACCTGATTTCAAGCAAATGGGCATGGGTGAATGTGTACTTAGGATATTGTATGCATTTTAATCCTCAGTAGACTTACTTTTGCTGCCAAAAGGTTGTAGTATTTGTCCTAGCATAGCTTGACTAACTACCGAGTTCTACAACCCTATGTTACAACAAGATGTCAGTTTACCAGAAAGTGTAGGTCAATATTAGTATACTTATAGGAACCCATAAGGAAAATTAGACTATTCGTGACTAGCTAGTTGAAATTACTTTTTATCTTATGATAAGGTCCATCACAAAAACACGCGTTAGGAAAAATAGGTGTAAATGGCGTACCCCAACCATTTTAATGAATGAAAAAGGCGCACTTAATTATTCAGGATGGTTTAACAAAATGTTTCACCATTTCAAGATGAAGTAACCTTTAGAAGAGGTCTGTGTAATTTATGTAGCCTTCTGTGGATAATTTTGACACTAATAGTATCCATAGCGTTTTCTGCTTTCATGTTGAATAGATTGTACCTCAGTAAAAATAGAGACTGTTGACAGATGGACATAGTATCGTTCGAATCTTGAATAACTGCTCACTGTACTTTGTAATTGCGGTTTAACACTAAAGATTCCACTGTAAGCTTGTTTTAAACACTGTTGCATTTAACATGGCTTAAGAAACTGATTGCGTGCCACTGAACCTCAGCAGATTAGTGGGATTTATTTGGCACATTACGTATGTTTTTATCATGTATATCATGTAGGAAAATTCAAATTTCCTTATTGTGGGTCGTTTTTTTTCAGAATATTGTTATCTAACCTATAAACATATGATGGTCTCTCCTCATAGAATTAGATTAGTTCATTATCAGTGATAATCGTTTGATTATATAAAGACTAATTACATATACTATCAGGAACAGAAATTCATTTCTACATAGCGTTTTTGTACAAACATTCTTTCTCTATTTTGATACAGAGTTTTCGTCTGACGAACAGTTGTTTCAATCTGGTCGTATGACACCAGATGGGTTAATCGACGAAGACTTTGAACATGAACTTGGATGCGCAGCCAAGGCAAGTAGTTCATTTGTAGTTTTAATCCTTAGTAAATTTAGTTTTTTTGCATTTCGTTCTCATTCTTTCCACATATTTATGTTTATCTATGGCTATCGTTAGTATATATTTAAATCAATTACTAACTCATTTTATGCTTATGAATATTCCTAACTGACATCGTCATTTTTTACATATCTTCGTGGCTGTTTCAAATAAAAGTGGGTTATCCGTTTCATTGTTTACTTGGGTTTCATGTGATAGTTTCTTACCAATAGAATAGAAGAGCAACTTTCAGTTATAGGGTAGTATATTTCATCCTGCGAACCATGTGATTTGGTTAACATAAAATAACTACTACTTGATTACAATTTTAATCCAGTTTTCACTTCTTGTCCCTAAACTCACGCCATTTACTGAAACACTACTTTCTTGTATGCTGTACGATTTCGTCCCTGGTTAAAATGTATCAAAAATTAATTTCACCTCAAGAATCATTTATGATTACAAACTTTGATTATGTAAGGTTTCAACTTAATAAGGGTGATCTATTCATATGTAGTATTAAATTATAGTTACTAATTAAAATGCATTTGACTTCCATAAATTGAACATAGTATTGTGATTAACACAGCTTATATTTTGTTTTAGTTCACATTACCATTGTTGTTTTAATGTTTATAAGTATCTACAATATATTTTTTTCTACTCACTGTCTTTTTTGCCGTTACTTAATCTTATGATCCATGGACTTGGGCACTGTTATGTCCCAATAAGAATTATGAATGGTAACTTTTGAGAACTATTTATGGACCAATATGATATATATATCCTATAATTGTTAACTAACTGAACTATTTATATTCGCGTTCATCTTATTATAAGCTTTATTTTGATCTATGAACTATTATTATACGATTTACCATTCTTGAGTTGTCCTTAGTCTATTAATTACTGTCACAGCCACATTTGGCTAAATCTTGTACACATGTTGTTTTCCTATTTATGGTACGATGTGGTCTGTCTGTTTAGTATATAAACCCAGTATGCTTGAAATGAATGATTCATACTGCAGAGGCTGAGATCGGTGTTCTGGACTTAACTGGCTGGACTAGGCAGAGGCAGGATCGATAAGTACTTTAGACTGCTCGTACAGGTTTCATGTGTCATTGGTCCGATCGATAAATCTCGGCTCTCTAATTGGTGGCATCGTCACGTCATATATTAAACAGAGCATCCGGGCGGTCACAAGTTATAACAGGCACCACTTGATTTATATTTAATAATAAGTTATGTAAGTTGTGCCTCATCTTTAATATGGGCAATTATCCTGTCACTAGTTTTCACACGGTATATTTCGGCCCATAGTTTAGTGAGTGAATGGCGTGTGACTTTTAAATACCAGGCAACGGATTTGAGTCCTGCTTTATCTACTTCGATTTGGCAACTGAGTAGTAGTGCGGTGTGTTTTATTTATACAGACATATAAGAAGTATGCTTTACGCATGGGAAGTAGAATTCTTACTGAAAAAGGAGGAAAATGATGAGAAGGGAGAAAAAATCTGAAAGCAATGAAAATAACAACAGGAGCGAACGAACGATGATGTTTGAAATAACAATTTCAAAGAAGATTTGCAAATTATGTGTTTAATGTTTTTTTTCATATTTCACTAAGCCGTTGTGATCTTTCATTAAACAATAAATTGGTTATCACCACCTGAGTTCTCGTTCACTACAGTAGTATCGATAGCCTTCACACAATGTGTGATTAAAAGTCGAGTACACGAGTCTGTGTTTGATAAGTTTCATCATTGGTACACAAGTATATTCAGATTGTATATGCTTACATTATTACGATTATTGCTAGTTGCCCGACCGTTTCTGCAACCCTGACGTGGTGGTCGAGCTCACCTATCTTAATGAACCAATCGAGCTATACTGGCTGGAACAATCGTTCCTCAAGGTCCTACCATGCCAGGCAGGTCGATTGGATAACGGTAAGACTAAAAGCAGCAAATCCAAGGTCCGAAGGCGAAGTCGTACTACTGACTGTACAGAAGTGTGACGGTAGTAAGGTGTTTCCTTCAGACAACCAGCATAACAGCGATGCTGCCTTCCCACAAGGAAGAGTGGGGTTAGAAATGGTCGAACCTAAAAATGCACACCTCGCCTTATCCCACGGATTTCCGTCTCCAGAGATAAGGCCCCAACAAGTACGGAGCTAACACAACAATTACTCACAAAAACGTCGTGTGTGACCGACCTCAAACAGTTGTCCCTTGGGCACTGCGGAAGAGCAGGCTAGAGAAAACCAGGCTGGTTTTCGACCTAGACGTGGTTGTATAGACCAGATATTCACTCTCCGTCAGGTTGTAGAACATAGACATTCAGACGTCCCACAATCGTAGTAATTCTCGACCTTAAGGCGGCATTTGACTCCGTTGATCGTCATGTTCTATGACAGTGTTTGTCACTGAAAGGAGTACCAAAAAAGTAGATTAACCTTATAAAGGCTCTCTACTCGAACACTGCTGGTCGAGTTAGAGCCTATGGCGAACCGTCATCAGAATTGTTTACCTCTAGTGGTGTTCGTCAGGGCTGTCCACTCTCTCCATTCTTGTCGCTGAAATAACATTTTCATCATCTAAATCTCCAGGAGTTGAACTTTTACCGGGAGCCTCACTTATTGGCTTAGAATACCCCGACGACATAGTTTTATTTGGTGAAGACGCTGACAAAATGCAGAGTCTTCTAACCACTATAAGCAACTATGCAGGCATGTTCGGGATGCGATTCTCCCCCCTCGAAGTGCAAAATGTTACTTCAGGATTGGGTTGCATCGGCACCTGAACTAATGATAGGGAGTAAAGTAGTTGAGCGTGTTGACCGCTTCACTTATCTTGGGAGTCTCATCATCCCTTGTGGTCTGGCGTGTGATGAAATCTCAACACGGATACAGAAGGTTCGTCTAGCTTTCTCCACCTTGCGTCATTTATGGCGTAGGCTAGATATCCGTCTAGCAACAAAAGAACGGGTTTTTCTGTGCAACAGTTCGGTCCGTCCTACTTTATGGCAGCGAAACATGACCGATAAGAATAGAGGATATTCGTAGGCTACTAGTATTCGATCATAGGTGTCTTCGAAGCATTGCTCGTTTATCCTGGGACCACCGAGTAAGTAATGCAGTCGCTAGGAAATGGGTACTAGGTAAGGATGGCAAATCGATTGATGGAGTAGTGAAACTTCATCAGTTGAGATGGTTGGGACACGTGTTACGTATGCCCAACCACCGACTGCCCCGATGTGCGATGTTTTGTGGTGTAGGAGTAGGGTGGAAGAAAGCTAGGGGCGGCCAGACCGAAACGTGGCACAAATCCATGAAGTCAGTGACAAGTGGACTGAGCCATGCTGGTAGGCGTAGACTACCTGGTTGGTATTCACGAGATGATATCAATCGATGGTTAGAGACCTTGAATGACATGGCTCAAAATGGATTGCAATGGCGAAGGTGTATCCACTCTTTGTATTCTGCCAAATTTTAGTCTTTTGAATTCTTCATGTTCCTTTTTATTTTTTCTCTTTTTTCAAATTTATTTCACTGTATTATACTCCTTCAATAACATCAACAACATGTACGTACGTACGTACGAAGTTCTACGTTGTAACTGACTGAATAACATCTTCAAACCCTAATCTTTCGGATTACTGTTTATACTCTTACTACTTCTACCACTATAGGATTTGAATCAACAACTGCATCTCTGTGCTGATGTGGTATGGCAACTCGAACTGATGTACGCACGTACGAAGTTCTACGTTGTGATTGACTGACTAGTTTTTATTTGTAGGTGTTTATTTTGAAGATGAATGTACACGCTATTTATAAGAGTCTTATCAATCATAGCTTTTAATATAAAAAGGATTAATCTATATTCATACTGAATTATACTATTTAAACAATATTAATTTCAAGTAAATACTATTAACTTTTACTTTTAACTTGTATTTTAAAAAATTGTAGGCTTATTATGCAGGTGTTTTGTAGAGTTGTTTGTTCATGTCATCATGGAGCACGTAATATAAAAAGAAAAAAAACTAGGTATTTCTTTGTAAAAACTAAACGTCATGTGTGCAAATCAGTGTTGTGGAAACCAATGTGAATTTCCACAAAATCAATAGAAGTAGTCAGCTTGATTATTTTGTCCCAATTTTTTTTCAGCTTGTTCTTCCCATTGTGTCAGTATTAGTCAGATAGTTGAATTAAGTTACGTGGTTCAATATCTCTGCGATGTCACAGTGGTGAATTGTTTCGCACGTGTTGTTAGTGTCGAATGAGGGCTTCTTGTTTTTTTATTTAAAGTACTGGTAAATACACTTTCATTGTTTTTATACAAAAATACTTAAAATAATCAAAACAGTAGAATGTTTGAATATCGGTAAACGCCATTTAAACCATTAACATCGATTTTTGTCATTTCTTCTATCGACCATTTTATTTTGCGTGCGTGTGTACGTTTACTCTTACTGAATTTGTTTTTCTATCTGTCGATTTGTCGAAGTGGATTTTTTCGGTATTGTTTATTCTTTTGTATATTGTTTTGTTTGTATATTGTATATATTGTATATTGTTTTATCATAAGTGTTTTTCAGTTAGTGATATAACGACTACTTTAAATCATTAAATTTACTTCGTTCTAAGCAATCGGTTAATATGACTAGTCATCACACAGTGTAACTCAAAACTGAGTACATAAACAGCAGGTTTGATAGATTAGTTACTTCAGAAGCACTGCGTTATGGTAATTTCCTCTCTCAGTACCGTTGTAAAGTCTAATCACCTGAACTGAAATACATCTATATTGCGCCTTCATTGTCCATGATTGACTGACTACTTGGTAATGTTTCCGTTGACTCTAAAATATATTTCCTTCCTTCAGTTAGCGAACTGTATCAACCTCAACAGGTCAACTTCTATCCTGCTTTCTACATTGCCAATTGTCTGATCTACCTCTGTTTTTCCA